CTTAAAATGGATGGTTCCATGCTAATTAATGGGACTAGATCATGTAGTGGAGTCCTTAAGGATAAAGATGAAAACTGAATATAGTGTTTTAGCTGTAAGTTGGGGGCACTGGATATAGGGCTTTAGCTGCAAGTTAGGAAAAGTTCCCCCTATTATAGCAGATATTTATGATATCAATAGAGGTCTTAAAATGTGCTAGATTCATGAAGCTAGGCTTGTGGAGGTTTTAGGTGATTGTTCAACGATCACAAGAGACAATCATAGTTATCATCCTTATAATGATATTATTGATTATACGAGAAAATGAGTTAGCAAGAATTGGGATGATAGATTTTATTTTGCTTACAGAGAGGAAAATTTTATAGATGACTACTTAGCTAGGTTAGCTTTTACCCTTACTAATGTCCTACTAGCCTCCTATTACTTGACTGTGAGGTTAGGGTTTTTATTTTGATTTGATGTTGTTGTTCTATTTGTTCTTTGTTGTTTGTGTTGTTTGTAATTAGTCTTATTTTCTAAACAAAAATGATCTATGTATTATTAAAAAAATATGGATAGATTTTCGTTAAAATATTTGGAATCTCATTTTCTTTAAGTAAGGATACATTTTTGAAAAAAAAAACTAGAATAAAGGCTTTGTGTAATATTCTCAATTTTAATTGAGAAATTTAATTGGAAAAAATTATGGATTGATAGATAATTTAAATTAGAATTATTGTTATTTTAAGGTTATTTAAGGTTAATCAAATATTTAGGCACTCAATTATAGTTTAAATTGGGCCAAGTATCATGTATTAGGGTTAGTTAGAGTCCAAAATATTATTAGGTTAGATTAGGCCTAAATTATTGGGCTAGAATTAATGAGTCTGAAACTGGACCATGCGTTGAGGTGCATCGTGTGTTCTTTGCAATGCACAAATTAAAATTTAAAATTTGTTATATTGTTCAAAAACAAAATAAAAAATGGAGAATTATAAGTAGAGATAAGTGCGAAAAGCATGGGCTTTGCTAGGGTTTCAGTATTCCCTCCATTGGGGTTCAAATTTGTGACCCCAAAGGCTTGAGCAAGGGTATTCATTTCTAGCTAAGTTCATTGAGTGTTTAGCTAGAGTTTACATTTTTGAGAATGCCTAACCCTTGGGTTTGAATCTAATGGGTGTTTTGAGGTTGTATAAGTGTTGTTGAGGTATTTAAGTGATGATTATACTAATAGGTTGTCAAAATCCAAACCCTAGACTAATTGGATGATAATTTGTGATAATTAAAGTGTTTAGAATTTACATTTATGTTCAAGAAGTGTAATGATGATGAGTATGACTAAGTTTGATAATTAAAGTGTATGGAAATGCATCAGGGTTGTGGGAGTGATTAACCTAATCCTAAGATTTAGGTGTGATTAGTTTTTAAGCACTTTTATTAGCTATAATTAGCATTGTATGGATGTTAATTATAATTATATTGTGTGTAAATTGTAGTATTAGTAGAAGGTGATATTCACTTGTTTGGGGAGCTTTAATAATAGTAGAGAGTAAAGGTAATCTTTATTAATATGTCATGGTATATGTGTTGTAATTGATCATGTGTAATTTGTTGATAAAAAATTATTGTTTGGAAAGTATATTGTTTAGAAATGCATATTTGTCATTTGGAAATTGATATTGCCAAGTGGGTTTTAAATATTGTGTACAACTATGTTGTTATATAGATAACTCTTTGAAAGTATGTTCACACTTGTTCAAATTTATTGTTTGCAGAATAATATTAGCATGATTTTGTTCGGGTTTAAAATATTTTATTGGGGGGTTTTTTTGTTTGGATTGTTCGGGTATCATATGGTATGCCCTCATTGAATTTAATGAGTGATTTGTAGTTTGAATTAGCTTACTTTTGACATGGTGAGTTAGGTTTTGGGCATGGACCTTGGTCTCGAAATAAGAAGGGTTATAAGGTATAGTCATATATTTTTACTCTAATTGTTTGGATATTTTTGTGTTTAGAAATGTGTTTCGGTATGCCCACTTAGCAATCTCATAATTAGTTGTATCACATATATCATTTCGTATTAATATTGGTTATTGGGACCCTTGTGTCCCATTTCCCATGGTTAACAATTTTTTAGGGAAGGATCTAGCTGAAAAAGCACTAGAGGTATAATATTGGTGCATGGACACCAACTTGTATTGTTAGGCTTCCTTTTGCTTGGTTATGTATATTTTTCAACCAAAGGGCATTATTTGTGTATTAAGCATGTGACTTCATATTTTTGGATCAAACTTGTATATGATAGCTATGAGACATGTTTTTGACTCTCATGGCCTTAAATATTATGATTTGAACATGAGATGAGCTTGTAATTGTGTAATGCCAACTTATGCTAATTAGATGATTTTAACTATGTTGGGTGGTTATAACTCAACTATGGGAGTTTACATGTGTTCAAGTGTATGTTTGGTTGTTATGTGTTACTTGACATGTTTAAGTATGATCAAGTGATCCACACATAAGCATTGGCTTTGGTTTTGGTTTTATGAGTGAAATCATTTGGAGAAACTGTGTTTTATCCCTTAATGGGATTTTCTGAATAAAATTCTCATATGAAGGAATTTTTGTACCAAATAAAACCATTGGTTAGTTTATGTTATAAGTTTCGTGTGGATGTTTAAACCACTCAATTTGTATATTTGTAGAGAAAGTTATGCCTATTTGAAATTTACTATCATTATTCATTCTACATAATTGCTAATATATACCATGCATCGTGGCACATGTCAAATTGGTTGCGGCGCATGATATGAAGAAGAGAGTAACTCTCTTGTGTTATGAGTCACGGCGTATGATGCATGAGCCACGGTGCATGATGTGCTTTGGACAAAAATGTTCCTGTTCAATTTTTGTTTTCTAAAATAATCATTTTGACCCTTTTACCCATTTTTAAACTTGTTTTGGACATTTTTAATCTCTGGGAACCATGCTTCATTGTGAAATGAATTTTACAACATTTTTTTGGATTTTAAATGATTATTTCAATGAAATCCATTTGATACTTACTTAATTCATTTAGTTTCTTCCTAAATTGTCATGGAAGATTTGGTTTATTATGTTTAATCTTTTCTACCATGATAGATTCTTTTCTATCATGGTTCTATCATGGTAGTTGACCTTGTAAATTTTAGTTGTAAGAAAAATTCTTTTCTATCATGATAAGCTTTCATAAAATTGTTTCAATCCTAAATTAACATAGTATATTTTTATCTACTATAATAAGGTTTCAAAATATTGTCTTTAGTTTTATCTACTCTAATAATTTTATTATTATTATGGTTGGGTTTCGAAAATAGTTTTTACTCTTTATTACTATAGTACACATCTTTCTACTATAATAAGCATTTATAAAGTGGAGTTTTGATTATTGAATCATTTATTTAAGGCAAAATTTTTTTGAAAGTTTAAAGTGTTACACATAGAGCTACTCTTGATCTACTTGACACTACTTTAAAAAGAATTAATTATATAATAACTTATCTATTCAATATTATAAGGCATTTTTATTAAAAGTATCATGTTAAAAAATATACTCACTCAATTACTCCATCTATTTAAAAATATAAGGTATTTTTTGAGGAGTTGAATGTTTCTTAATTTTTTTCATTTTTTTATGGAGGGAGTAAAGCATATAAGACTTTTTAATTTTTCAATGTATAATTAATGAATTTATAATTTGTTTTTTTAAATTTTAATATGATTGAAGAATAAACACATTTGTTTTTGCTATTAAAATTTAAAAAATAAATTACAAATTTATCACAATGAAGTTATAAAATTGAAAGATGAACTTGTAAATTTCTGAAGTTTGATACTTGAAATTTAATTTAAATTAATTAATCCTCTTGGGACATATATGTCATTCTCCTAACATAATTCAATTAAAAATAATTTATATTTTTGTAACAAGGGAGAGTAAATCATTTTGGATATTTTAATAGGAAATTAATTTTTTTCAAAAAATATTCTTAATTAAAGTGTGTAATTAATAAAGTTTTTTTAACTGAGACACTCAATCAAATAAAGTAAACATAAAAAGAATATACTCCCTCTACCTCAAATTATAAAATATTTTTAAAAAAGATCCAGCATTTTAAAATATAAGATACTTTAATAAAAATAAGGTATCATTAATGATACTTATACAATATTACTCTTTTCATATATTTTTTTAATATTATTTTATTAATGAAGTATTAATTGAAGAGCATTTTTAAAAATTTATATTTTTATCTTGAAAAAATAAAATTATAAAGTGTATTTCATAAACTTTATTGGTAATATAAAATTTTATTTAAAAGTTTCTTAATAATTTAAGAAATATAACTGTAAAGATAATTAATTAATTCATATAATGTGTAATTTAGTTAAAATTATGTTTTAAAAATACTAAATATTAAATAATTAAATAAAAAATTCATTTCATTTTTTTCTATTGTAATTAATTCGAAGGTTGTTTTCGAGAAGCAAAATATGACTAACTTTTACATGTGAAAAACAAGATCAAGCAAAGCCCTTGATCCCCCGATACCCTAACAATTTTAAAATTTAATACTCTTTTCATTTTAAATTATAAGATATTTTTAAATAAAATTTTACATATTAATAAATCTCATTAAATACACTTAATACTTTTATTTTTATAAAATATAAATATAAATTTTTAAAAATACTTAAGTTTAATATATTAAAAAAATAAAAATTAATTATAAAGAGAGAAAAGATAATATTAAAATTATTATATTTAATAAAATTTTAATTTATTTAAAATGTTTTATATTTTAACATAAATTTATTTTTAAAGCACCTTGTAATTTAAAATAAAAGTAATAACAGTTTTTAAACTCTCTATCTTTCTCTCTCTCCCACACAAACACAGTCTTCAAAACCTTTCTTTTGGTAACTTTACGTTGCATCTCTGTCCCTCTCCCCCACACACAGTCTCCAAAACCCTTTTTTCTATTTGTATCTATTTCTTTTGCATTTCATAAGTACCCACATTATTCATTCACATGGTGCTTATTAAAAAGCCTCCATAGCACAAAGCTCAGCCTCTCACGGCTTCTGTCATTATCTTCATCATCACCTCCACCACCATGTCCTTCTCCTTCTTTACCATTTTCTTCTCTCTTCTTCTTCTTCTTCACTTGTTCTTCCAGTTTTGTTACTGTGCTACAATTTTAGTTGATGGAGCCTCAGAGTGGAAGAACCCTACAGTTCATATTGGAGATTCCATCAGTAAGTAGCACTATTAACATTGCCAGAAACAGATCAAGTTCTCTGGAATTGTTTTTGAGCTTTGTTTACTGAAAATAGCAACTACTGATTAATATGTGTTACTCTTTTTTGCTGAAGTTTTCAAGCACAAGCAACACTACAATCTGTACATTTTCAAGAACCAGAAAGCCTTCGATCTCTGCAATTTCACTCAAGCCACTCTTCTCACCAAATCTCACGCAACCTCCTATACGGTAATTAGTTCCCTCTTACTCTTACCTATCTGGGCATTTCAGAAACATATTCAAAATCTGGTTTTTCCTGTCAATTTCTATGTGGGTATTTCACAAATGGCTTCAAAATCAGAGTTTGCATAGCATTTTCTGTCCGGCTATCTCAGAAATGGCCTCAAAATCTGGTTTTTCTCAGTATTTTTCTATGTGGGCATTTCAGAAACAGCTTCAAAATTTGTTTTTGCTCAGCAATATCTATCTGGGTATTTCATAAATGACTTCACAATCTGATCTTTCTCAGCATTTCCAAAGGGGTTATGCAAAGTTTTCTGCTTTTTAATATTCTCTTTCAATTTCTGACCGATTCTTCTGTAATTATATTCTTAGTGGCACCCATCGCGTCCTGGTCCCTTCTACTTCACCTTCAACGACGGGTCGTTTAAAGCATGTCAAGCTTCTCTAAAGCTAGCCATAAAGGTCTCACCAGCAATGCCGCCGGAGCTTTCTCCGACGGGAGCTCCCTCTCTGGCTCCAGCCCCCGGCGGGTCAGTGTCGTCGTCCCCTGCATTCCCGTGGCCTTTCCGTCCTCGCCAAGCAGATTCACCTGGTCCGGCACCGGCGGCAAGTTCGACGGCGACATTTCCGTTAGTTCCTAACAAAGGAGGCGGAAGCAACATGCCGTTTATCAACAGCAACCCTGCGGTTCCTCTGCCTACTGGTGAGGTGGACTCGGCGACCATTCGCCCTCTTCCCACCTCAGGCCAAGAGAGACAGGTGAGCCATTCCTCTGTCTTTTACTGTATTCTTTTTTTTTTCTTTAATTACAATATTTAATGCTTTTGTATTATACTTGTTTTGTTTTTATCTCGGATTTTGAATAGACATTTAGTTATTTTTAACCATCAAAATAGAAAATTTTGGACTTGTTTTTGGGGTAAAAAATTTAAATTCCTTTTTTAAAGTAAAAAATAATTTTAAGATCTAGTTGTTATTTCTTTGGAAAAACAATATTTCTTTACCTTATTACAAAATATCTCTAATTATCTTATCAAAAAATTAATAAAATGCGAAGTGAATTTGATCTCGAAAATCAAAAAAACTAGGATAAGTCCAGAAGCTCAAAACCTCATAAAAGAAATTATAAACCACTGTACTTAACGATAAAATATTTGTATCAATAATAACATTCAATCATATGCAGATATATTTTTATTAATTGGTTTAATTTTTTGAACCTTTTGTCATTAGTTGTTGGGGAGGGAAAAATCCAAGTGAAAAATGATAATGCGTTGATTTGTTGTGAAATTATAATGGAAACACGTGAACTGTGGTCATGATAGCAGTATGTTGTGTGTTTAATTAAATTAAATATTCATATATTAAATTGATTAAATTAAATATATAAAGGTATAGAAATTTGATGGGCTTATGATTGATGCAGGTGATGATGGTGATTGGGTTGTGTGGATTTGAAATTGCTGGGTCCGTCCTCACTTTATTGCTGATGCTTTAGAGAGGGGCAGAGATGATGTAAAGTAGTAGAGAGACTAATGATTGGGATTATATATATAACAATGCAGTTTATGTAATGAAATGTATTGTATTTAGATTCTCTTCCACTTTCACTTTTGGACTTTCTATTCTCATTACTCATTCTCATTCTCATTCTTCTTGCTTTTGCTTTCTTTCTTTCTTTCTTTTTTTCTTTTGAATGCATCTTTCTAGCTTTTTAACAGTAATAATAATAATTATTGTGGTATTTTTTTTGCAGAAATTATTTCCCTGAGGTATTAAAGTCAAAGGATAGATTTCTCTTTATCTAAATTATTACATGCACATGTGTTGGTATTTAAACTCTTAATCACTTACTTCAAGAAGAATTCCTACCATTCACGTCTATTTTAATTGGTTTACTATATTATTTTAGATGTCATTTTAGACTTATCTTGATCAAACCAAATTAGATAATGAGTGTAAATCTTTTTTAACAACAATTTTCTTCATACATGACCTCAGATTCCTGAAAAGATCTCAAGACTTCATTTGAATATATTTCTAACATGAAACCTTTTGATTTGGAAAAAGAAAATGTCAAGTATTTCCAAAATTTGAAAAAGTTATGAAGTGATTAACCAACTTTACATATTGTGTTCATTACTATTAATAGATAGATAAATGTATTTGATATATACTATAAAGTTGGTGATAGGCATTGACAAAAGGTGAATTGGTATACTCTATCTTATGTTTGATATTCTACGTCAAAATATTATGTTTACCGTCCTCATCATCTCATTTTATAATATATTTTTTTGAGTGATTTTTGTTTTACAATACAAGATATTTTTTTAAAAAATAATTTATTAATAAAACTTATTTTAAAACTATCTCTCATTATTATACTCATTAAATATTTTTTTCTCATTTATTAAATGAAGGATATTCTTAAAATTTTGCATTTATTTTTGTTAAAAAATAGTTTAAGTTATATTTAATTGATTTCATTATTTCAAAATAAGATTTCATTATTTTGAAATCTTATTTTTTAAAAAAATTATATTTTAAAAGTATTTCATTATTTATAATTAAAGAAAGATATAACTTTTAGTCCTTATAATTTTAATGTGGTGTGGTATAAATTCCTATAGTTTTTATTTTCATTGTTCCAAGCACCTCTAGTTTATTATGTATAAAATAATAGTCCCTTTATGTTTTAATAAGCTCAAAAGAATGATGATGTGGCATTAATAGTTTTAAATTTTTTGACTTATCATTAATACCGTTAATATAGAAGGAAAAAGGGGTCCGGATTTCAAATGACAAAGGCAACGTGTACAGTGACCCCACTTAATCGAATGTTATTAGGACATTAGTTGAAGGAAAAAAAAAATGCTTGACTCCCACTAACCTCACTTACTTAGAGGCCATAATACACTATCGAATGTTGTCATTCCAGGCATTAGTGACATGTCAAAATATTTAACATTATCAGTACCATCTCTTTACTTTTTTTAGCATATTTAAAAGTAGAGAAGATAATAGCTGTAAAGGCAATGAACTAAAGGAATCTATACCAACAAAAAATTGCAAACACCTATGCGAAAATATTATGGGGACCAAAAGTCATGATATTCATTCCCATCATTAATCATGCTACAGAAATGGTTATGAGAGTGATGGACCAATTTTAGATATTGGTGGGTCGGAAAGGCATTAAATGGCCAGCGAAAGAGCTGACATAAAGGTTAGTAGGTAACTCACGGACATAAACCTTATTCTCTCAATTCCACCGCTCCTTTCTCTCGTGAATTCCCTTCCAATTCCAACCTAAAATTTTAATTAATTTAGAACTTTCGTTTTTAACTTGATATATAAAAAATATTTACTTTTTGAAAAAAATTAATTTTATAATTTTTTATGATATTTATTTAACCTTTTAAAAATAATTGGAATTCAAAAAAGTATATTTTTTAGGAAAAATTGGTGAAAAAGACCTAGTTAAAATAGAAATCATGCTTAGGGACCAATTGCATTTGAAGAACCATTCTAAATAAAATATTCTTAAAACAATCTAATTAAATGATCGAATTGCCCCTCCTCGATGAGACCATTTTAGGCAAGATGATTTCTAACGTAAGAAGTGAGTTATAACTTGGATCCTTAATCTCTTGGCATGCAATTAAGCATGACCACCATTGTATGACTCATCTTTTAGAGGACTTTGACTCCTCTTTTCACATGCTCTTTGACTGTGCTGTGCACTGTACATTAATGTTTGTGGAGGGTGATTTACAGTGAGAGAGAAGCAATTTCAGACAATGCGAGAGGTGATTTTCGATGAAGATTTCCTCTCTTCTTTTACAAGATTCACTTCCACCACTATCTCTTGTTCGTTCAGAGGTTAGGCATATATCCCCAAGCTTAAATGTTTTAATCAATCCAAGTTTGAAAGGGCTATTAAGGAGCCTCCGTTACTTCAGAAATCAAAAATAGAGCTTGCAGGTATTTTTCTTAGAATTTCTTATTGTTACAGGTTCACATGCTTTGTTTTGTCTATACATGTTCATGGGCATTGACTTTCACTTAGGTGCTTTCCTTTCTCATTTATTGGTTAATGGTTACCTCTTGATTGTAGTAATTAAGTTGAGAAATGACAGAAGTTACTATCAGAATCTAGAGTTACAAATCAAGAAGTATGATTTAAAGGTTCAGACTTATCCAACCCAAAACTATATTTTCTAACTAGAGGCTTCTTTAAACACCCAAAATGCAGTGTTGAACTTTGTATTGCACTTTCGAATCATCAAACAGTAAATGAAAAGCAATGGGAAATTGATTTATAAATCTTGAATATTGAACACTAAATGGAGTTAGTATCCACAAGTTTAATAAATAAATTTAGGCCCTTAATTTTAGAACAAAATTTTAACGTATTTCTCTTCTAACTTATGTTTTTTGTTTTGGTTGGCCTAATCACATTTCAGAATAAATTTCAGCCACATCTTGTTCGGTCCTTAGGATAACTGGGTTGCATTTTTTAAATAATAGAAAATCCACCAAAAGATGCCTCTTTACTATGCCAATTCCTTGATATATACTTTATTATGTGTTTGTGATTCTATGTCTCATAAGGCATTATCTCTCTCTTTATGGGTATGCAATATTCACCATTTCTAAGGGTTCGCATAGGCAATGTCCAATATTTATGATCCAAATCTAAGTATAGCAATGAAGGTGAGTATAATATCATGCGGTGTAAGTTTTTCATTTCATTTTGGAAGAACTTTTTATTGGATTCATGTGTACCTTCTTGATAATTATATTTCTAATTTTTTCTAACATATTCATTCATCCCCTTTCATTTTGAGATTATTATCTTATTGTTCTATGTCATCATCATTTTTGTTGGTATTCAATCATTATATGCTTATGTTTGTAATTGATGTGAAAACCTTTTGAGTAAGGTTCAATGGATGAATAAAATTATAGTAATGCAGAATTTTTTACCGAGTACATTGTGAGAACTAATAATAAGACAATGTACAAGTGATCATGGCATATTCTAAAATCTGTTAACCAATGAATTAAATGTGGTACTTATTATATAATAACTATTATACAATTAGTCATTTTGATGCAAAAAATGGAAGTGATATAAGTGTAATTCAAGGTTTATAAGAGTTTGGCCATCATTTAATATATTAAAGATTGAGTCTGGTTATTAAATGATCATTTATGTAGATAAAGCAACCAAGGTAGGGATACTTGCTAGAATTTTAGCAATTATAATGACTTTCATTCATTAATTTCTCAGTTTCTAGATAATCTCCTAAAAGATTCAATGAAAGTGGTTGCAGCATTGTATGTGACGGCAGATACAATGTATGGTAGTTGTTGTGTTGATGAAGATTTCAGATTTCATGTAATTATTTATATTACCATGAAATCTAGAGTCACTATCATGAGTATGCACTATGTATTGAGTTAGATAGAAAGCTTGGCTTTTGGTTAATCATTTCATTTTGGATAAACATTTTATACCTGAATTTAGCATGGCATGAATGACTCACTTGCGATGGGGACTAATTTTCATTTCAAGCATAATGTTTTAGATACACTAAAGCATAAGATTTTGTCTAAAGATGAGAAAAAAAATAAGTTCAAGTTAGAAACTCTGAAAAATTCAACTCATGCATATCATAAATTAAATGAGTTACAAGGAAATACTAATAAAGGGATTTCTTTAAAAGATTAAAAAAAATTGTTATTATAATTTAAAAGTGTATTTATGGCCACCCCACACTTTTTTTGGGTACATGATAGGATGTAGTTTAATATGAGCATGTTATTCTTAATCCCCATGGTATATTTTTAAATATGGGATACCCTATGGTCTTTGTTTATAATTTTGATTGTGTTTTACAAGAAGATAAAATAAACCTAATGGAATAAATGTTTTTTTTTCATTGAAATTGTTGTTCATTCTTGCTCTTCACATTTACTTGTTTTTCTAGGACAATTCAATTGTCTTCCATGTTACATTATTGAATCTGCATCTTTTACATGTTAAAATGGCTTGCTATACAATTTACAGTACTTAAAAAGAGAGAACTTATTTTGAGTGTTCCCTTATTTGTTTTTTGTATAGTGTAAAATTTAGTTTAACATGGGCATGATGTTGTTCTTACTCCTATAATATTTTTTTTTATTTAGGGTGTCTTATGGTCTTTGTTTATTATTTGGTTTGTACTTAGCACAATGACAGATCTAAACTAATGGAATTATTGTTGTTTCTTTCATATTTTTGCCATTCATAGTCCCCCTACACATTTACCTTTTTCCATTGGAAATTCAGTTGTCCTTCATGTAAAATTGTTGAATCTTCATCTGTTAGTGTAACAATTACACGTAATATTTTATAGATTACATGTAAATCAAATATAGAGAGAGCCCCCATTGTTAATGCATATGTAATTACATGAAAAGACAACTAATTACATGTAAATCAATATGGAAAAAAATTCACGAGCATGCCTAAGGAATAATTTACATGTAATCTCTTGCGGATTACATGTAAATTAAATCAATCACAAAAGAACATGCTCCTGTCAATATCTCAGAATTACATGAAAACAACTATAAATTACATGTAAATATTG